GAGTAATTCCCATAATATTTATGCCCAGTTGAAGCCTAATCCAAGGAAACATAGAGATTTTATTCTGCCACCCCTACAATTGATGTGCTTTTACCTTAATACCTTTTGAAATTTTTTACGATTTTGAAAAATTATATGTTTTTCAGATTTTTTGGAAAATTTTCTGAGTGTTTACCGGATTTTCGGAGAATTTTATGAGTTTTTTACTGGATTTTTAGAGAATTTCATGAGTTTTTATTGGATTATTAAAAACTGTCCAGATTTGAACTATCGGATTTTTCAAAATCCTATGAATTTTTCAAAAAACTATGGATTTTTATTGGATTTTTCAAAAACCCTATGAGTTTTAATCGGATTTTTCAAGACAATTTCTCATCCCACCTTTGCTATATGAAGCATACCTCTGAAAATCTGAAAACGCCCTTGGGTGAATTTGAAGATGCATCTCCGAACACACATAATACCATTTTTTGGAAAAATTTAATTCGGAGACGCATCTCCGAATACACCCCTAGAGTAAATTCACAGTTACAACTTCGAAGCCATGATGCATCATTATAAAATCAAACAGCCACACAATTTCAATGAGAAATAATTTCGGAGATTTATATTCAAACTACTTTGGAGTAAATTCGGATATGCATCTCCGAATTATTGCTTGTGTCTTTTCTCCAAAACCAATTTAATAACATTGTGGTATTTTCAATCCAACCTAATTTTAATTCGAGTAGCATTGTCGTTATTTGTTTCAACAATTAATAAAAACGAATATTGTAGAACCGAGTAATGCACTAATAAAACTGAATATTATAGAAACGAATATAAAAAATATTATAATAGTACAACAATTGTTCTCCAATTTGATGAAAAATAAACAAAATACAATCAAAAGCATTAGTCTATTGAGTATGCCTAATCTTAACCCCCTGACTCCTCCTCTACCGATGGTAACCCAATGCATTTTATGCCTTGATAAGAATGAAACGTGCTAGCTTGACTTGGCATGTGCACCCCTAGTACTTCTACATTGCTCAAAGGCATCCTCATATTCAGCTCCCAAAAAAGTCACCATCATATCAATGGCATAATCCTGTTGATCTTAGAACGATCAAGCAATCTTCCTCTGATAGGAAGGTGTAGGAAGGTGTAGGGGAAATTAGGGTGGATCGCCCGAGTCTCATCCTTCCTTGGTTTCTTTGGTTTTCAGGCATATCCTGAAGAAAAATTTTTAAAAAATTATAAGGAAGGAAATAGTTCAAATATGCATCTTTGAACACCTGAAACAACACAGTTCAGACATGCATATCCGGAAAAAAAACTTCATTATGCTTTAATAGAAGAAGTTCTTCTGCAACAGCCCTAGCATCCCAATACATCCAAACTCATCCAAATCATATAAGCAAAGTCTCCTAACTTGAACACTAACTTGTTTGAGCTATCGAATATATTAAAACTAACCTATTTGAGCTAATACATTAATCAAAAATCAAAATAAGTTAAATGCAAAACTTACTCAAAAATGTGTTGGTGAGAGATTAAAGTGCTCTGATGTTGAATGCAGTTGGTAGAAGGAGTTGAGAATTGTAAGAAACAAGTAAGTGTATCTTCAAAACTTGATCTTGAGTGGGAGCTTGAAATGGGTAGAATGACGTAGAGAGAAAGTTGTTTTTCTGAAAATGAAAAAGAAGAAAAGGGAGGGTCTGACGCAAGTAATTAACTATGCTCACCTTAGGGATGGCAACGGGGCGGGTCGGGGGCGGGTTTAGCTAACCCCGCACCCGCACCCGCAACTCCAGTAATAGACCCGCCCCCTCCCCCAAACCCGCCGGGGGATGGAAATTCACCCCCAGACCCGCCCCCAATGGAGAACGGGTCACCCGCACCCGCACCCGCCCCTACCCGCGAAAACTGTTTTTTTTAAATAAAAAAATATCTATTTTTTTCACAAATTTCCTGGACAGCATTAACAAATACATTTAAAATACAAAATTCGCCATTGATTTGAGTAAATAATTGTAGGATTTAATATTCAAACACCATTCCAAATATTTTTCTATCATAACCCTTCAATCAACTATAATTGGTTGTGAACTTGTGATTCATTAAAAGAGTGTAATCTTTCAATATATCAAAGTATAAATCACTCCCAACAACCAACAATTTTTTTGCAAAGTACAAATACAAAATTAAAACAATACAATCAACAAAAGAACCATTCCAACAACATGGAACAAAATAACCATTCCAACAACATGGAACAAAATATAAGAAGCTGAGAAAATAAAAGTAACATAAAAATAATTAAAACAAGGTTATTATAGTAATTGGATTATTCGGGGCGGGGCGGGTGCGGGTGCGGGCGGGTCTCAGTGTCTTACCGCCCCCGCACCCGTAGTTAGAAACCGGGTTTTACCCGCCCCGCATCCGTACCCGTTTTAGCCGGGTTTTCCCCGTTAATTTCGGGGCGGGTCCGGGCGGGGGCCAGCGGGTCTGGATTTTTTTGCCATGCCTAGCTCACCTAGTTCGGAGATGCATCTCCGAACTAATTTTTTGAATTAAAAAAAAAAGTACATCTGAGATGCATCTCCGAATACACCTTTAAAATGACTTTCATTGTGTATCTTCGTATTTTATTGTGGAAAAAAATGATTTTTGGTGTATTCAGATATACATCTCTGAAAACAAGAGATATTTTGAGAATTCCGTGCATGGCTTGGAAGAATGTATAAGGGTGGGACGAGAAATTGCTTTTCAAAAAGTCTAGCTAAAGCCCAATGTAAAGAGAAACTATAGCCCAGCCCAATGAAAGGGTGTTTATTGGTGGCAGTGCAAACCGGTACCAGAATTTGGATAAACCATAGCCAATAAGAACATAGTAACATGTCACTATAAAAAGTACCAGATTTGTTTCTGTGACTGCCGTGTCCCATAGATTTGCACAACAATGATCTCTTCCTTAATGTTACCATCTGCTACAACACTAAGACCTTCTTGTACTTGCAGCATCATTCCCTCATCATCATCATCATCTTCATCTTCACGAAGACTCACTCTCTTTCATCTCCTCACCACCGGTGCCATAGGTAACTAATCTCTCTACCTTTCTCCACACACAACACAACAAACCCTTCATTTAATACTATTACTATTATTCATTTTTCTTATCACTTAGTTTTCTGGTGCTGCTGCTGCATTTGGTTATTCCTTTCCTTATTAGTTCTCCCACCACAATCCCAACTCTTCGGTGCAAAACTATCACAAGCTAATGCTGCTCAAAACTTGTCTGATTGGGTCCAAAATGATGATAGAAGATTCCTACATGTTGTTTACGGTGTTGCAGATTTGGACAAGACCATAAAGTATGTATATATGCTCATACTTGTTCGATTTTGGAATTGATACTTTTCAGTTTCAGTCATATTCTTGATGTAAACATTTTTGTATGTGTGAAATTTGACAGATTCTACACTGAATGTCTTGGCATGAAGCTTTTGAGAAAACGCGATATACAGGAAGATAAATATTCAAATGCTTTTCTTGGATATGGATCTGAAGATTCTAATTTTACAGTTGAACTTACTTATAGTAAGTTGAATTTGTATTGCTACTTCTTTTTGTTTCAGTAAAATTGATTGTTCTCAGAGTTGTTATTTTGCTGTGATTGCAGATTATGGAGTAGATAACTATGATATTGGAACTGGTTTTGGTCATTTTGGTATTGTAGCTCAAGATGTAAGCTCTTCCAAAAGATTATCAAGCATTATCGTTTATCTTCAATGCAAGAGTTCTAATTTCGCGATTATTGTGGTTTTATACTGCAATTCTGCAGGTTGCCAAGACAGTGGATATTGTTAAGGCAAAAGGGGGAAAGGTTACGAGGGAGCCGGGGCGTGTTAAAGGCGGCTCTATCGTTACTGCTTCTGTTGAAGATCCTAGTGGCTATAGGTTTGAGCTTTTGGAGAGAAGACTTACTCGCGAACCGTTGTGCCAAGTGATGCTTCGAGTAGGCGATCTTGATCGTGTCATAGCCTTTTATGAAAAAGTGAGAATGTTTACTGTTCTTATTGTGATGGTTCCTTCTGCTTGCTTAGATGTAAACACGAATAAGTAGCTAAATGTTTTTCTTGTCTTTGTTGATTTCGAAGGCTGTTGGCATGAAACTTCTCCACAAGATAGACAACCCTGAGGATAAGGTAACATGTAACAACTACTTGTGGCTATTAATAAGATGCATTGTTCTTTTGTCATTGGAGGTGATTGACATTGCAAGATCGTGCGATTCCACGATCTGGATCGCGATTGTTATAACATAGCTTATGATCGTTTTCCAGAACACAGTAGCCGTGTTGGGATACGGTCCTGAAGCTAATAGTCCAGTTCTAGAACTGACGTATAACTACGGTGTCACTAGTTATGACAAAGGAAATGGTTATACACAGGTAAATTCTATTCTTTTTCTATCATGTGAAGAGGATTTTACGATTTTTGCACTATTCATAGATGAATCATAATGCATGTCATTATAAGAATGTGACTCATTTTGTGTTTGAACAGATCGCAATAGGCACGAATGATGTATATAAGACTGCAGAAGCGATCAAGTTATATGGAGGGAAGATTATTCGTGAACCTGGACCCTTACCAGGTATCAACACCAAGATTGCAGTTTGCTTAGACCCTGATGGTTGGAAATTGGTATGCATTTTTTCATTCCGTTACTTGTATGCGATTTATTGTGTTAAACTTTATATTTCACGCGCTGTTTATTTCACTGATTGGCTTATTTATCACTTCACACAGGTATTTGTTGATAATGTCGATTTTCTGAAGGAATTAGAGTGAGAGTAGCATGGATATTTTTTAGATCCTACACTTCACTGAACTTATAATAGGCCAACAATTTTTTCAGCGATATTTTATAATCACGCTGTCAAATCAACATATCGATAAAGAAAAGTAAACATGTATTTACAGCAATCACATTGTCATCTTTAATATTTCTAGTATGTTACTTTGGCGCGGCAATTCAACATGTACTGGATTCCTTCTAACCACAACAGTTTGTCTCCTTTTCTTACACATTCAAATTCTATTAATCTGTCTGCTGTTTTTATTCCAAAATACGCTCTCTTTTCGCAACTGTCTTCCCTTCCGGGCCAAGCTGGGATATCACTGCACACTCCAGTGACTATATCTGCCAATTTTACACCATTCCTTAACATTGCTTACGGTAACAAAAGATCCAAATAAGTAAGTTATGTGTACTGAAACTTGGCTTACATTTCTTCTTTTTCGTGAATGTTCCTGCAATATGCTTGCTTTTCATTTTCGCTACTACCTGTTGTCATTGTGTAGATATAATTATAATTATTTGAACTCGTGCTTATGATTTGTTAATGAATGTAGAAGTTTCTTCTTCAAGCAATTACCTGAAAATTTGAATTAATATTGAAAGAAACTTGCTTCCAGTGAAGAACTCCTGTTATGGACAGTTGAAGTAACAGTTACTTGCATTAGAAGTTATTCTTCAATTTCAATGAATCCACTTTTTCAAACATGCCGGTAGACATACCTTTTCTTGTACGTTTGAGTAGTACACCTCCTCTAAAGACAAAGTCCAGTGCTATCAAGATGTTTGCCTCTTTGGCTTCGCCGCACTTCTCCTCAACCGGAGGAATCGTAGTAGCTCCAATCCCCCTCTCCAGACGTGCCTTTAGAGTAGCCGCTCCTCGCAAGGCTGTTGTTTATTTCATTACATTTTCTGTTGTTTTGTATTAGAATTTGAGTTTCATAAATTGAATTCAAATTTTAATACCTGTGGCTGCTCCAGCTGTAAGAGTCATAATATCTCCATTGGTTTTTGCGTTAATAGCTGAGTCGACTGCGGTTACGATCTGGTCCTGTTCAGCTCCCATATCTTCTGCAATCTCAATGCAGTGAGAGGCTACTAAAGAAGCCGCAGAAGCAACTGCAGCAGAAGCCATGGCATTAGGCTTTTCGGACGATGCTATTGAAGCAGCGACTGCTGCAACAGCGGCAGCAACACCAACTACAGATACTGCTGCGTGCAGCTGAGCATTATGAGTCCTAATTTCTTGCTTTTTCCTCTCCTTCTGATCTTTCAACCACCTACCTGTTGTCTTCCCTCTCACCAAGCTCCTATAGAGCTAGTGAAGTAAAATTCGCAGAGTTAAGTAAAATGAATGAAAAAAAGTTCTAGTATAGTAACAGATTTAGCTAGTATCTTGATTATAAAATTGATGGATATAATCATAAGTTGATTGCAAAATACCCCGTTTCTCAGCAAGTTTTGACTCGAAATGAAGTCTGTAGAAAGTGCTTGATGAAGTAAAAGTAAATCCTACAGAATGAAGCATTACATTGATACACTTTAGATTGAATTGATCGACTTAATAGTTATATTTATGATCATCCAGGTTATAGTAAATTAAGTACCTTTGTTTCGCTACTTTCATTTGGCGAAATCTGAGGATAACACCCCATAGATAACTGCTCAAATAACTTGCATCAGAAGCTCAGTACCAATACAATAAAAATAACATGAACACAAGACAGTATTAATGCTGCATTGCATTGTGAAAACTTGAAAGAAAATGTTCTTACAGAATCCTTAGAGGCAGTGAAACCTTTGGCCTTGAACTGATCAGAGTGGCATAGAAGTTGCATCTCAATAGCCGAGGACGTCGTAGTATTGGTGCTATGCAGTGCTTTGGATAGTTCCGTGGCAGAAAGACTCCATGATCTAGCAAGAAACTCCATAGATTCTGTCGGCGTTTCAGGCGGCGGCAGGCAAGATGATGCAGGAACATTCTCATCTAATGTCTCCAGCTGATGAACTGAGCATTTAGAGACAGAAGTGTTGAAGTTCACTAAAATTGAATTTAATCACACAAAAAAATGAGTTATATACTTTCATGAGAATTCAAAAAGTTGTAAGTTTCTTTATTTTAGCAATATTAACACTCACTTGTTAAGAGTTATACTCTTAAGTTCCTTAGGCTTCAATGACTGAGAGAGCAATGTGATGAGAGAATTTATGACCAATAGTTATGTAAAGAGAAAATATGAAGTTGTTTGAAAGTGCTTATTATTTAGGATGATAGAAAACAAGTTAAAAGATTCTTAGAGGTGATGGAAAGAATATAATTGAAAGGGCAATTATATTTGTCTCCACTTATGATGTATCTTTTGATTTCCACTTGTTAGTGCTTTATGCATAAAGAGTCAAAGACCTGTTTTTATGGCAGCGGTTCATCATTACTAGGAATTTTTCTATCACCATTATCATCACTTTTAAAAGTAGAATTAGGGACCCATTTGTTTGTGGATTTGTAGTTTGATTAAAAAATAGTAAAAAATTAATTATTTAAAACAAAGTATTTCATTTGATTTCTATTATTTTATTTTTTAAAATTTATTAAATACTATTATATTGATAAAATACATTGCTTATTTAATATTTGTAGATGCAACATACATTAAACGATAACCTATCGACGTGGTGTTAGTCGGAGTCACATATATCTTTCTAAGTGAAATTGTGGATGATCTTTTTCCTTTCTATTCCTTCTCTTATATAGTCTTTTTGACTCAGCTTGGGGAGAGGCCTAAGTAGAATATTTTTTATCATTAACTCTGTCAATCATCCTCTTTTAAGGATAATGAATGACTCTAATTAGCCATTCATCACTCATGGAATATAGATTGTCTTATTTCTGAGTTCAGTTGGATGAGCTACCCAACTCACTTTTGTATTAGGTTACATTCAATCGGGCAGGCTTGTCCATATATGGGTCCAGGACCCGACCCAATAAAATATTTAGGATGGACACAGTCTTTCAAGCATGAGGCTCTTAGGAGCGAGATACATGTCTTCATATAACCCTTGATGTCTCTCACCTCTCCAATCCACCTTGAGTTATTCCTTTCTATTTATTCTCCATGTAATACTCCTTTAATAAATTCTAGAAAAAATATAGTTTTGAAAATTTTGTTTTATCAAAGAGATTAGCATAAGCTTTTTAAAATGTTGTCTTTATGAACATTTTTGGAAACTAAGATATGCAAACGCAAAAAAATAAAATCAATATGAAATAAGAATAACAAATGGAATTAATATGCTTGAATCACTTTACATCTTATTTAACGTTTATTGCAAGTTACTAGTAAAATCATTTCCAATGACAATATTAAAAAGAGCTACCTAAATCAATTTATCAAACACTTGGTGTGCAAGTGAATTTTCATAAATTTTCCTTTAGTTGTGTTCATACACAAAACTACTTACAATCAAAAGTGATTATAAGTTATATCAACACTTGATTTAGAATCAAAAACAGTTCAGAAAATTTCTTACAATTCAATTGATAATGCAATGCTATTTAACAAATTGATCAATGAATATCAAAGCAAGTAAAAGCAAAAACAAAAGAGACACACATAATTTGTCTTCACAGTTCTCTATTGTCGTCCTCGCGTGTGGGTACGTCTGCCCCTAATTCCAATGGAATTAGGATAACTCTTACTATACAAAAAGTTGATATAGGAGAAGTGTTCAAGAGTAACTTCATAAACCTTTATGCTTGTTGTTGATTCAACCCTTCTCCTATTTTGATCTTGAGAAAGACCAAGACATAATAGATGCAAATTGACTATCTGAATCTTGCTACTACTTTGCGTACTTTATCTCCAAAGCTTTCGCGCACCCTCAATTTCAAAATATTACAACACAGGGCTTCAATTGTAATTTGTCATTCTCTCACTACTTCCTTTGCATTCTTTATGTGTTCTTTATCTCCAAAAGACTTCACTTGACCGCAATTACCTCTTGAACGTCTTGCATAAAAATCCCCAAATCAATCAATGATCTTAGAGGATAAACCCGCGGTTTTTTCGGATGAAGATCCCTACAAAATGTAATCCAATATCTAATTGGAAGTTATCAAACCTCGTCTAGATGACACCCCAACGAAACATCATCACAATATAATGTCAGTGTGTATGCATAGGTTAGAGGTTGAAGATGAAGAGAAATTGTAGGCTAATTTTATGGTATCACCAAGTTATAAATGATGCATGAATGAGTATTTATAGTTTTGGAACTTTTAGGACAAAAAAGACAAATTCAGAATTAAAAAGATTTGGAAAAAATTGACCAAACAATCAGTATGTGTCAACCTATATATCGTATGTGTCGACACATACATATTTTTAAGTTATATGTGTCGACCTATACAAGACTATGTGTTGGCCGAACCAAGTCAGAAGCTACAAGCTTTAAAACAATAGTAAATGTGTCGACCTGAAAAATGAATGTGTCGACACATAAAATAAGAATTTATGCAATTTCAGAAATGCTTCAGTATGTGTCGACCTATGCAATACATGTGTCGACCTAAACCTTCCAGGTTCTACAGGCTTCAAAAATTAGTTGCACGTGTCGACTTGAAAAGCGGATGTGCCGACACATGCTATACAAAATTATGCAAAAACTTGTTTTTAATGACTTGGATCAATTTCAAAATGCTTTTTAATGATTCCTAAGACCTTTAATATAGAGGAGTGCCACAAGACCATAAGAATACTGTCCAATATACAAAAGTGCTAATTTTTCCCAGTTTTGACATCATATAAAACATTTGATGACGAAGTTGTACTCATATACTCCCCCTTTTTGATGATGACAAAACTTGCGACGATGCATTTCTTGTTATTGTAGGCTCCCCTTGACTTTGTGCTTCCCTACTTCGAATTGCATATGCTTCTCCCCCTTTGACAATATAAAAATGAAAGATTGTAAACCGTGAGAAGTATCATAGTTCCATAACAATACTAATATATCACTCGTAGGATATTTTGCATAGAAGAGCAACAATCACATATCCTCATATATATGTAATGATGCAAAATTTTAAATAACGGGCAAGCAACATTACAACAAATGTAATGCAATGCATAAAGAATAAACAATCAAGAAATATAAATATTGTCAAGTTGTTTTTGTAGCGTCACAATCACGTAACACTTCATAATGGGACTCTAGATTCCGCGCACGTATGTTCCTAGCATAACAACAAGAATATGTCGCTACTAAAACAAAAATGAAGACGTTTTTCATGTCATGTGAAGCAACTAGGAAAAATAATGAAGTTGTCACCGAATATTTATTTATCCCATAGAAGGGAAAGGGAAATATCGAATAAACCTGAGAAGGGAGAAATCAAGGTCTCGCGACCAAGAGGTCGGGTACAGGAGTCGATTACGTGAGGGGAAGATATTAGCACCCCTCATGTCCGTGGTACTCTATGGGATCCATTCTTATTATTCTAATCAAAGGGTGTGTCAAAAAAGAAATTTTTTATTATTGCGCCCGCTGCGGTTGCGAACCTTTATGCATACATACCCTCTTCGTGCAATGGAAGATCAGGGCACTCGTAGTTCACCTAAAAAGGTGTTTTGGTTTGTTTTGTATTTTTTAGGCGGATAATGTTACATTCGCACTCTAGCAGTTTACATATTGCAACCCGACCTTTGGGGACTTATGAGTCGTATTGCGTAGAGAGGAAATAACACATTCTTTTTTGTGAAAAGGTTTTTAAAAGAAAATTCCGAAGGCATTCCGAAGGCAAAAGGTTTGAATTGGTTTGTATTTTTGTTGAGATAATAGTGAATGGATCCCACTGGAGGGACACTCACTACTTCTCTGCTTATTTGCGAAAGAGTTTGAGATTTGAACCACATTAAAAACTATGATTGAAAATAAGTACAAGGTTCAGTCTGTACCGCCTCATACTTCCCCCAATGACTTAAGTCTCGTGACGCATGGTTCACATCTTTATAATTAAGAATGTTTTTTAGTTTTTGATTAAGAAAATGAAGTTTTAGTTTTAAAGATGCAAAAGGGGAATGAAAAAAAAAATTTAAGGGAGACTAGAGATCCTAAAGTTGTCATTCATATAATTATGGTCCTAAGGTTAGGATAAAAGGGAAAGCTACCTAATGTTAGCATGCTTAGTTTACAAACCTAATGTCTATCTCAATTCAAATCTCAACTAAGATTGAATCCAAGAATCCTATGGGAGCATGGCATAAAGCATAGAGCAAACAACCAATAGTAAGTCTTGAATATTTAACAAAGCATCAAGATAATAATTGCACAAGTGTACACACAATAAGATCATTACCTACTTCAAGATAGGACTTTAATAAAACTGAAACCGCCTACTTTAAAGTAGGTCTTTAAACAATCAAAAATCACCTACTTCTAGGTAGGTCTTTGAACAAGCAGAAATTATCTATTATAAGATAGATCTTTAAACAATCTACTTTGAGATAGGTCTTTAAACAACTACACTATACTACAAACATGGTTTCGCAAAATAGCTCAAGAACACTCGTGGAAACTTCACCAGCAATCAACCAAATTCATCCTCATGCACTCGATATCCCAACACGCTATCACCACATCATGGCAAGAAAATAACAACAAAATTAAACATGAAAGGTGAAGGAAAATAATGACAAACTTCTAATTAAATTCTAAAAGGGAAATACTAAAATCAATTCAAACATATTCTACATGTTTTTGTATCAGAAATTCATGTCATCAAGATCAATCAAAAGAAAGAAAAAAAATTGAAAAAAAAAAATCTATTAAAAAGATCAAAACAAACAACAGAGGGGTACTAGAGAGAATCCAAGATGGTGATTAGCATAAATTTGGCACAAAGGCCCAAACAGTAAGGTCCAAGAGAGAAATT